ACGCCTGCCCAGGGATGTGAAAGGACTGGGGAGGGCCTGTCTCCGCTGGAAATGTGAGGCCACCACTGCAGGTTGACAAAGGCTTCTAGGTCAGGCTGGGGTATGCAAGAAGAGAGCCTGGGGAGGGTGAGGAGAGCCTCGAAGCCTTGGCAGAAAGCCAGAAAGCTTATTCAAATTAGTGTGAATCCAGCCACTCAGAGTGACAGCGGGTCAGGCCTGGAGAGCGCTCTGCGGCTAGACGGAGATGAACTTGGAGAGGCTGGGCTCCTCCTCAGACATGTGAAGGGGTGGCCCTGGGCTCAAGTCACACTCCGTGTCCTGGAAAGAATCACCGTGCACTAATTAGAAATGCAGAGTCCTCTGAGGTCCATAAAGACAACAGTGGGGGTTGAAAGCAGAGCCCAGATGTGGGGTCTCTCAGGTAGCTGCTGGGTCCACCCCAGCCCTTTCCACAGTTCCAGGCCTCTGTCCATCTGAGGGGCACAGGAACTAACAAGTTCTCCCCAGAATTCTCAGGCTTTGACTCACCCCGACCCCATCCCTCATCCATCCATCCCCTGAGGAAGCTATCCGCATGGCCTCAGGCTAGGGTCTGGTTTTAGATGTTGGAATCCTGCCAGCCCAGAGCTCCTTAAGCTGTGATTCTCAATTTTCTGAACGGGGCGGGGAGGATGTAAGGTCAAGAGCCTTGTCTCCTGAGTGAAATGGCCGGCCGAGGCTGTGGTTGTGATGGGGTAGGTGGGCGGATGCGGGGGAGCAGTTCGGGGAGTGGATGCTGAGGAAAGAGCTTTCCTCCCCACACTGTCAGAGGGGAGTCAGACTAGGTGACTCCAGATCCCCGGGGCCCTTTGTCCACACCTGGCTTAGGCACTGGATCTCCCTGTAGGGGCTGGCAGAGGGCTTGGGGCTGGCATGAGGCCTAGTGGACGCTGTAAGGTTGATCACGGCGTACTCTGGAACATGGCCGTTCTTCAGAGGCTAAAACAGAGACTGAGTCAGAACAGGCTGTTCTTGGCAGCAAGGCTGGCCTGTGAGCTAGGGCAGAAAAGGGAAATGCAGGAGGGGTGGGCAGGGGGAAGAACGCTGGCTGTGGAGTCAGGGTCCTGGGGTCCAATTTCCTTCTTCTCTGTGTGAGCTTGGGCAAGCCACCTAAACTCCCCG